TGTGATTGGCCTTCTTGCAGTACGAACAAAACAGCCGAGACCTCTTCTTCTTTGTGGCTGTGGCCTCTGCCCCAGCCTTCCTGGGTGGGCTTGAGGGATGTCTGAAGGAAGCCAAGAGTCAATAAAGGGCATATGAGAGAGAAGTAAATGGCGAGGTAGCAGTAACAGCTCGGATGAAGGAACAAATGAAGGGAAGAAACCAAGAGGTAGGGCAAATACAAGGATTAACTTACGGTTGGGCGTTGTTGTTGATGATGGTGATGATGATGGCTGAAGAAGAAAAGAGAGAAGAAATCGTCAACTTGCAGTTGTTATTGCTGAAATTGAAGAATGGAAGGAGTGCATCGCCAACTTGTGCTTACGGGTAAGGTAGGTGCTGTTGGTGTGAATGGCAATGGAAGAAGGTACTAACCTAGGTACGTACCTTCATGAAGAAGGAAGACAAGAGCTCTTTTGGCCAATTACTTAATCTCATCAAGATCTCCAACTTGTTCGCAATCTGCCGATAAGGTAGGAAAGCTGTTCCAGGTCTGACACGAAGCTTTCACAGAAGGTGGTAATCTTCAACTAGAACTTTTATCTCATCTGATCGCGTGACTAACATGAATAAATGAACAAGAATACCTAAGCTTTAGGACTACTTTAGGAAGTATTATTATAGTTTAGAAGGTACTTCCTCATATTTAGTATATTTAAGTCTTAATTTAGATAATATCATCCTAAAGCTTATGATGATACAGATATGGTTATCAGGTTTCAGATTGGATTTCTTGATGAGGTCGTGTAGGTAGCTCTAGAGCTCCCCTGCACAGGGTGGATACTTCAGCCTTCAGCTGCCCTGGGCGTGCAACGTGCTCATTGGCCGACTCATCTTGGGATTCAAGCCCCTCCCCCTGGCTTATCCGATCTGCCTCTAGTCTAGGAATATCCCCATTTCGTCCCCAGTTTCAACTTCAACTTGGACTTGGACTTGGATTGAAACAATACAAGTCAAGTTGAGTTGTTCTTTTTGACATCTTGTGTCCAGCTTTATTCTTCTTGAATAGGGCCACTCGTTCCTTTGCCTTGTTTTTTGTTGTCTTTCTCTTTACTTTTTACACAACTAAGCTGTCTTTGTTAAGGACAGATATAGACATGGCGCTCACTCGTAGGAGCGTCGTTTGCTCGGCGGTCTGCCTTGCGCTCCTTGTCGGCTTTGCATACGCGGGCCATGATCACGAACATGATGAGACTGTGAACAATGTCAATATTGACAACATGAGTCTCGAGGAGCTCGATACTCAACTCCAGGTACACCAAGCTTGGCTCTCCCTGCAAACGTTCTGTGCTGACTCAATTCTCCAGACCTGCCCAATTGTCGAGCAACTCAATGCCGCAAAGCACGCACACCATGCTGCTGCCCCCTCGTCGATGACCTCGCGCCTCTTCGCCGTTCTCTTCCCTGGCTCACCCGCCGTAAACGCCCTCCTTGCGACCCTCTACATCTCCGGCCCGCCAAACTTCCTTCTCGCCCTCTGCCCGACCAACATTGATCCTGCTTCTCTTTCCGTCATGGTTGCTTTTGCTGTGGGCGGTCTTCTCGGTGACACTCTTTTCCACCTTCTCCCTGAGATCTTTGTTGGCGAAGATCATGATGAGGCTGTCAAGTTCGTACTTGTCGAGCCTAACCGTAACCTTGTGCTTGGATTGGGTATATTGGTGGGCTTTATGACATTCGTCGCTATGGACAAGGGCCTACGAATTGCTACAGGCGGAGCTGGTCATGATCACTCCCATGCACATGGTGATGCGCACGCTCAATCTCACAGTGAGGATAAGGCTGTTTCTTCCGCTGTTGATGCTACGGATAGTCTTGTCAAGTCTCGCAAGAAGGGTAACGAGGACAAGGGTGCTGTTGTTGCCAATGCTGTTGAGAAGCCTGAGAAGGAAATCAACCCTAGCGTCAAGCTGGGTGGTTACTTGAACCTTATGTATGTTGATTTCACGGCTTTGATCTTTTGGAACTGTACTAACACTTACAGTGCCGACTTTACACACAACATCACCGATGGCTTGGCCATGTCTGCCAGTTTCTACGCCTCTCCTACCATCGGAGCTACCACTACTGTCGCAGTCTTCTTTCACGAGATCCCACACGAGGTTGGCGATTTCGCTCTTCTCATTCAGTCCGGCTTTTCTAAGCGAGCTGCTATGGGCTCGCAATTTATCACTGCCTTGGGTGCTCTCCTCGGTACGCTCATTGGTATCGCTATTCAGGAGTTCGGTAGCCCTAGCAGTGACGTCCCCATGGGCCGTAACGAGGGTATCTGGGGAACTAGCCTGGTAAGTTATAGAAACACTCACATCCGGGATTAGCTGCTGACTTGTTGTAGACATGGGGCGATATGCTTCTTCCCTTCACTGCCGGTACATTCCTCTATGTTGGAACCGTTGCCGTCATCCCCGAGCTTCTTGAAACTGGTCCCAACAAGGCCAAAGAGCTGAAGAATATGCTCATTCAGTTCTCGGCCGTGGCTATTGGCGCTGGTATTATGTTGTACATTTCGTGGCACGACTAGAGTATGCATGAGTCGTTTTATGTGATGAGAGTTGTGGATTAGATGAGCGGGTGTAGATGTGAGTTTGAGATATCATGGGTTTGTCGTGCGTCCTTTTGATAGACATCTTTCCCACGGGGAGCGAGCGAGTGTGCCCGAGAATAGTCCAAGCTGATTTGATCTCCTCCTGGCGGTTTCAAGGTCCAGGAAATATTTTTTATGATAAATTTATACGGTCGAGGCCTAAGTCTAGGCGTAGGAATTACAAAGCTTGTAACCAGAAAACTATGCCTTCACATAATGTATTCTGTGTGATACCTGACATTTCAGTGATAACCTCGGAGCAAACTTGGGTTCTTGTTCCTTTGTCATAAATCAAGTCCGTTGACCTCTTATTTTTGGGTTTATCTTCCTAAGAATTCTCACCTCAGAGTTGATTTCAGGGTATGTCTCACAAAAGATTGGACTCCTGGACTAAAAAGGAGATTCTTGCCTAGGCTTATATTTTTTATCATTTGCCATCTACTACTTGAGATCTCTCAAGTTCTACTATATGGCTTCTTGGTGCTGATAATGCTGTGCAATTCGCTTTATGTATCAACATCGCTGATTGTTAAGATCTGCTTAGCACACTTGTCAATGCTTTATTTCTCCCCAAAAGTGTTAATGTTAAGAGTTTATTTACATGACAATGGCAATCATATGTGTAATGACGGCTCTGCATCAGTAAGTGTAGTATCTAAACAGCACTGTAACATTATTGTTGGAGTATTGATGATTGATGCTCTGACTAAGGTATGCTAGGGAATGTTCCTGTTTAGGGTACCTAAGTTAGGTAGCAAGGGTTCTTGGTTCATCTTAAGAACTATTGCCGACGAAGAGAATTGGCAAAGACTTAATAGTGATCATCAAAAACAGTATGATGACTACAGAATATTCTCACACTGTCCCTTTATAGCGGTGAGTGGGTTGATGAATAAATTCTTGTTCCTTTTTCTACCATATATCGCCACTGGAACATGGACTGGTGAGAACCTCATCAAGGGGGCGGAATCAGAGACAACCCCACAAGCTCTCAATCTATCACGGATAAGAATCACTAATCGACATCGATAGCTGAGCCGCTATTTCACTAAGCACCACCGCTGGTCGATGTTATCAGATCAACGAAATAAGCCTTTTGCTCGGCAACCGGACACCCACCATCAGATCTTTTACAAGCCAATGATACGACAGAGCACAAGCCCCAGGATGGTCCTTGGACCCCTAAAACGGTACTTGTCGAGCAAAAAGCCCAGGGCTAGGGCATCTTCATGCACGGCGGCTATATCCATAGTAGGTGGACCGCGGGTGAGCGACGCATCACCAGATGGAATCAGTTAGAGCCTCATTAGTGCACATGACATGGATGCTGTCTGTGAATTTGTTTCCGGTATCCGGAAAGTGGAAAGATTAGTTAGGGGGTTTACGGGTTGATGGAATGAGCATAAGAGTCAGAGATGGAGAATGGAAAAGAAACTATTTGCCATATAATATGACCCTATGGAGCAGTGGCAGTGGAGTGTAAGGTGCTTCCTCGGTATGATCAAGGTCAAGAAACCGTCTACGTCTGAGCTTGCGTGTGCCTCCACGAGTGGCTCACAATCTCTTGCCCTGAGCGCGGCAATGTCATGTCGCGATAGAAACGTGGAGAGTGGATCGCGATCAAGGTGAAGCCACTCATACCGAGAGTGACCTGTGCTGAATGAGTTGGCTCTTGGCTTCCTAATTAACACAAGCCCAGGTGGGTTTAATGGTGGGTCAAAGGAAGAAGAGAATTTTTCAGGTCTGCTGAGCTTAAGTGCAATATCGCTAGGTGTAGCTATCGTGAAGAGCGAAGAAAGTGTCAATGTCGGAATTGAGACCGGTTGAGTGAAAGGTGGATATTCAAGACGAAGAGGTTGGAGGGGAATGAAGGAAAAAAGGGGAGATACGTGTGAGTCGAGTCAAGGTTTGACTCACCGACTCCAAGATGGGGGGTGAAAAAGGTAAGCAGGGGAAGGAAAAGGGTTGAACTGAGAGCTGAAAACACTGAAATGGTGTATGATGATAGCTATGGGAACAGAGTTGAAGTTGGTACAACTATCGTGAAGTTGATTCTTGGTGTTTTGGCGTTTCAACGACGATCAACACCTTCAGATCAACAAGACAGTTTGTGCCTGGCCGAAAGGAGAAGGCATGCAAGGGCTATTAGCCAACCAACTGACACGAAGGCGGCTCGGAGACGGTGAGAAGATCGCTTCGGAGACTAGCACCATCTCCAGTTTCTGTTAGCTACAGTAGCTTCAAAACTCTGCATGAGGATGGGCTGTTCCACTTCTGCAGAGCGGCCTGAGCTTCCCCATGTTATCTCGAAATTTGCTTCACCCCGCATCTGGCTGGGCTTGAATGCTTTGTTCGTGATCTTCTGCCGGTAGCTCAAGAGCCCATAATTACTACGACTGTGATTGTGGTGGCAGGATTCTGTTGCGTAAAAGAACAAAGTGGGACGTGGAACGTTCCCCAGAGTAAAAGATGCACGTCTAGTTGTGAGATTTCCTAATTGATACTCGTGAGTTGGGGACATCTGACGATATCGGACCCTGACATGGCGAAACGAGAATTTCTATCCAGCCACGCTTCCTAAATAAGAACACGTTGTTTGCTGTTACGGTGCGGGATGCCCGTCTAAAATCGGCCATTGGCGGCGGCATCGTGCGGCATCGTGATGACATGGACGGTCTCAACTGATGGTGGGAGGGGCAATTGGAGAAAAAGGGAAAAAAATAGCCGCCAACGAAGGAGAAAGGGATAAGGGAGGGAGGGTCAAGGACTGGGGGGTGTAACGGAGTGGTGAAAACAGTGAGTAACAATAACACATAATACTTGTAATACCATGAGGGGAAGGGAAATGAAAATGAAAATGAAGCCCACGATGCAAAACGAGTCGCTGCCACGCAACCATTCGAATCGTGAACTCAGGGTCCTCTCGCCAACGTTGACTCGTGGGGGGCTTCACTAAAAGGTAGCTATCCCCAGGCAAAGCGCCCCCCTCTCCAAAGCTTATACAGCCCTTCTCGTCCTTCCTGACAGGGATATCATTGAGGAGAAAAGGGCTAACGACATCTGCGTGTCGACGAAGACAGAGTCAGACTCAATAGTGAATGGAGTCAAAGTTAGGAATCGCGGGCGAGCTAGACCAAAACTCCAGGTTCGAGAACCGGGCACAGACGTCGAAACGGTTAGGTTAAGACTCTGACCCCAGCATTTGCCATTGCCAGGCCTTATTGATTCTGATGCGCCAGGTCGAAACAGGAATTCCTCATGTAATGGGAATTGCAGTATGCGACTCTTCCCCCCTCTTGGGCTTTTAGACTCTAGAACATCTCACGATGTTCGCCTACGTTTCCGTGGTGTAGCCTGTCCTGTATTAGGCACGGAAAGGCGGCAGCTTAAGCAAGCCCTCATCTTCTGACCGCCGGTTTACGGCATAAGGGCGAGGGAGGGAAAAAAGACCATCGGCCGGTTGTCCGGAGAGGTGCGATGGGAGATGGAGAGAGGATGATGAGGTGTATCAGGTTTCTCGTGAATTTCCATCCAGATACACCTTTTGTTTTTCGGTTAACACCAACCCGTAGAGGTTCATGTTGCTTTGCACCCTCAGTGAAATTTTTGGTGCATCACAATTGCAAAGGCGAAAGAAAACGTGGGGAATCATGAAGTCATTGCAACTCCAGTTTCTGTTTCTTCCCCAGTTTGTGTGATTTCACCGTCATCATCGAGAGCCTAATCCAAGGCATCAGGAATTTGGGCCGCGCAAGTGACGTCCCAGATCTCGATATCTGTATCTTGTTCCCATTTTTGGAGGGCGAAAGGAATAGTAGCTCCGGCCTGGAGATGGCTTGAGCTGTGATGGTGGGAGGAGCTGGGCGAGGGTCAAGGTGAGGCTCTTGGAAGACGGGCCGGCTCACACCAGAAATTGCTAGAACCATGCAATGAGTGCATGGAAAGCATGGAAAGCATGGAACAAATGGAAACATGGCTGGCTGACTGGACGTGCCTTGCAGCCTGTCTGTCAATCATAGCTCCATACCTACCTACTTGTGCATTGTGCTATGCGTTGCTATTATTATGCAATGCTTAACTCTCGTAACCCGATGACGCCGGCCGTGAATCTCCGATCAGCTCTGGCCACCATGATGACTCTTTTTTCGGAGCATCCCGAACAACATTTCCAATGTTTACTTCAAAGGGATCTCTACTGAGAGACTGAGCTGCAAGAGACAGTTTAACCTGAATCGAAGATTTGATTTGGTAATTTGGTGATCAACAGATTCTCATCCGCGCCAAGAAACCGTAGCGTCGTACCTTAACCCAAAGTTAATCAAGTCAAGCAGCTTCAAAGACCTGAAGCCGACTATCGGATGTTTTATTTAGCCTCTGAGCTGGGCTGTTGGAGATGGTCACAGTCGCACCGGACCCAGCTGCAAACGCACGCACAGTCAGGAACGGGATCTGTTGGAGAAGCCGGGAATGAGCAAGACAAGGCAAACAAGGACCCCTTCGGCACTGAAGAGCCTGTAACCACTTCTCCACCATCGGCGCTAGTCATGCACGATTTGTCGAACCCCGGTCGGATGGCTCACAAAGCTCAGAAGCCTTTTTCTCATACCCCCACTTCTATTTTTTTTTCTTCAGTGCGAGTCGCTCGTGTAAGTGAGAGACTCATTAAGGTACCGGTACCGCGATGGAGCTCATCGTGGATATCTTTGAGGTAAGAAGAGAGGGTCTGGTGTTTGATCCAGCTCTTCAAACACGCTCTGGGTGTGTTTCGTGAAGAGCAGCAATGGTAAGACTTCCGAGGAGGTCAGGTCGGATCTGGAAACGGAAACCTCGTAGCAAAGACTGCAGTCAAGCAAATATCGTACATAGGTGTTCAATATTGCAAGATGCAAACATGTAAATGCTGTTATCTTGTCTATGATCAGCAATCCGTGCTCCCT